GCGTGGTGTGCGGCGACGTGACGAGCTCGGGCACGGTCTCCGCGCCGCAGCTCTTCGCGTCCAACACGCTCACCGTGACCAACACCTCCGACTTCTCGGACGATCTCTTCTTGACGAAGAACTGGGCGGGCTGGAGCAAGCTGCAAGTGTCCAACAACAGCGCGGCCCCCGACAGCGGCCCGGAGCTGCGGCTGCTGGGCAACCAGAGCGCCAGGTCTTCCTGGAGCGGGACGGCGGGACGCACCAGTGCGAGCTCATCATGATCAACGATGAGGCGCTGGTGCAGACGAAGAGCCTCTCGACGCAGCTGTCCTTGACCACGAACCAGAGGAACCCCGGCTGCCTCGTGATCGCGGGCAACACGGGCAACGTGGTCTGCAACACGAGCTTCACGAATTTGTCGGACAGCCGGGTGAAGACGGAGATGGCCGAGGCCGACGTGGCGGAGCTCCAGCAGCTCTTCGACTCCGTGGAGGCCAAAAGCATTTCCGGGCGGCGGGGGAATTTCAAAACCACACACAACGACCAACTGCACGTCTCAGAACAAAGTCAAGAGCAAACGATTTTCCAGCCGTGCCTGGGGCTCTTTCAGCAGCTGGATCTTCTCAGCCAGAAGGCTTTGCAGGGCCCAGCGGGATTCCAGCTGCAATCTGCTCGTCCAGCGTGAGCCGCAGCAAGGATTGGCCTGTAACCTTGTTTTCACTGAGAATGCTCAGCACTCGGCCAACGCCTCTTCTGGCGTTCTCCACGGTGCCTTTGAGACCGCCAGCTCTCAGCACCGCTTCCGCCAGCTCAGAACCTCCTCTTCGCCAAAAGCCTCCACCTCCTCGCGGCTCTTGGCGAGCCAGTCCTGCCAGCACTCACCAACAACCAAGCCTGGCGCACGCGAGCCCCCAGCCTCCGCGTCGCTGTCCTGGCACCGGCGACCGGCCAAATTTGCAGCTGCTGATTAAAGCGTCCTGCTGCGGGCTGGCGCGCGAAGCAACTCCGCCACGCCCAGGGCGCCAGCGTGTCACCTCAAGAGCTGAAAATCCAGGCAGAAAAACATCACAGCGACACCGAGATCGACCTGTGGCCCGCGAGAATCCTGGTGGCACCACGCAAAACACAGCCAAGATGCCAGGAATCTGGTGTCCTTCCAGCCCGGGCGACTCGGTGAAATCCGCCCGTGAGGACATGTACCTGGGGCCACAACCAGCAAACCAAAGCACTGGAACAATGCTGCCGAGGTCTTGGCCGTGCGCAAGAAAAGCCACGAGATTGCAGTCAGGAGAATGCGGGAGCGAACACCTGACGACAACGAGTCCTAACAAGCACAAGTTGAAGCTGACCAGCCTCGGCTCCTCCTGCCCTTCGTCCTCTCCACGCCCATGGCTGCGCAGTGTTTCCCCCGTGGCTAGTTTGTGATATGATGTGGATTTGAAAGCGCGACTTTGCGCTGTGTGCGTGGACCGTCGGCAGCGCTGCTTCTGAGCGCTTCTTTGGGCCAGGCTACAAGCAAAAATGTTGTTACACATTTCGCATGGCGGGCGCTGATCCCTCAATTCCGAAACCACCCATCGCAATGTTTCCCAGCTGCCAAACATGAAGCAAGCTTATGAAATCAGGAAGCACTGAGCTCTGCACAGATGCAATCGTCGGATTTGCTGGGTCTGTGGATGTGAACAAAACCAAAAGCATTTGCGGGCCGCGGGGGATTTTCGAAACCACACGCAACGACCATCCTTCAGCAGCTGGATCTTCTTTGTCGGCAGCTCTGCAGGGCCGCGGGGAATGCCATCTTGCAATCTTCTCCAGTGATTGGATGTTGCGGGCTGGCGCGCAAAACGACTCCGGCACACCACAGGCGCCTTGTCACCTCACACAACAGCTGAGAATCTAGGCAAAAACAACAACACCAAGATTTGGACGTGCGCATTGTCCTGGCAGGCCCATGGCAACACACAAACAAGCAGCCATGATGTTAGAGGAACCCGGTGTCCTTTTGTCCACGGTGACTTGGTGTGAGGGGAGATCGTGAAAACATGCACCTGGCCCCGCAACCCGCAAACCAAAGCACTGGAAAAACATGTCACCAAGGCCTTGGCCGTTGTCCGGGATTGAGGACGGCCACACGCGCAAACCTGGCGAGACAACTCAAGCTCAACCAGCATGAACTTGAAAATGACCGGCCTCGGTTCATCCTGCCCTTCATCGTCTCCATGGCCAAAGTCACAACCGCAGTGTTTCACCGTGTCTGTATCCACTTGAGAGATGGTGACCGCATAGGATGCGCATTTGAATTGGAGTGTTTGTGATTGTGCACCCCAGGACCTGCAATTTTCATACTATCTCAAACAAAATTGTATTCCGCAGAAATGCGAATGAGACAACAATATTTTACAGCGACCCAAAATTTCATCAACTTTCAATAGTAATTACAATTAAATGAATTGCAAAATTGAGGCACCATTTGAATATAAAACTGTTTGTCCTTCGTATCACATGCTCAATGTTCCTCAACGCTAAAGAAGCTGCGCGCTCCAGACCTGAGACACATACTAAAAGCTCCACGCGACGTGCAAACAACCAATGTGTTGTGGCCCCAAAAACAATGATGCAGATCTGAAAGCAATCCGTGTTCGGTCCCTCAAAATCCCCTACGGGGGCTGTGAGGAAACCCTGAAACTTCCCTTCGGACGGTGTGAAAAACCCCCTGCGAGGCTTTGACAAGCCCTGCCCCGGAAAACTAGAAGACGGGTGGCCCGAAATCATTTTCCACGACGTGCAACTAGGACCAGGCTCTTTTTTGTCCATTCGCCGAATGCAATTGTCTGTTCCTTCGGCGGATCGCGCTTTGCGATCGCAAACCCTAAGCAAGCAAGCACTCTAGTGACAGAGGGTAGCGCGCAGCAGGCACGGAAGCCATCTACCCAAGAAGAAGGCCTTCTTCACGCCGCGCACGGCTCGTTGGGCGCGCGCGCCTGCTGCGGACAGCAGAACTTGTCCTAGCAGGGCTGCGACTTCTGGGCCGCACGGCACCGCCCTCGCTCCAAATTCCTCGAGGGGGTTCAACATCTTGGATTGCAAGGGCTTGCGCTCGCTCCCAGGTTATGCTCTTCCTCCGCCACTTTCTCTTTCTGCTCTCTCGTGGCTTGCTTTCTCCGTGCCCAACAAATACCTGAGCGTTTGCTCTGCCATGCGAAGTTCTGTTCGGTTGTGGAGGATGCTGTCTTGGCTGTAGCCGGTGCTCTGCAGGATGAAAATCGCGAGTCGAAGGACGCATGGCCCCGCCGCCTATGGGACCAAGGAGGCGCTTGAAAGCAAAGAAGCCGGCTTGTCGAAGGATCTCGTCCGCATCGGCCCTGGCCGGCTCCGCCATGCTGAGCGCAGCACAGAAGTCAAAGTTATCTCAAACAAACATGCACGCACATGTATGCAAAGACAGTGTTTCGATGCGCCGCTGCGCAAGCTGCCGGATGGTTCCTTGAGACTCACAGAAACAGCAATGCGCAGACAGCTGGTCGGGCATCAACAGAACATGAAACAGACCGCCAAGCAGAGCAAATGCAAGGAGACAGTGATGCATTTCTTTCCGCGAGAAGCGCTGTGTGATTAGCTGTGGCAATCAGCTGGATTGTCCGCACAGTCCGCGTCAATTCCAACTGCCTTCTGCAGCAAAAACTCTACAGTCCTTGGCTCTGGAAGAAACCCTCCACGTCGGGCGGCAAAACCTTGTTAGTCTTCGCAGCCCAGTCGCGCGCCGATTTTTGCGATCTCCTTGTGATCGGCAGCCACACTGCGCGCGAGAATGATTCGAAGCTCGGCTTGGAGAAGAAGCTGCAGTACCTCTTTCTCTACGCAGCGGAAGCCCGAAGTCTGACTTGCGTGCGGCACTACGTTGAAGTAGCACGCGTAGACCCCGGATGTAGTCTGTGCTGCGCGCAGTCGCAGACTGCCCTTGGCTTCCGCGTGGAGGTTGAGGAAACTGCGAGGAACCAGAGCTCGTGCCACCAGCTGGACCATGTTGGCCATCAGCACCAGTCCTTGCACCCACACCCGTTTGCCAGAAAAAAGAACATAATTTGCACGCACGCACAGACCCGCAAGAAGCGCACACACAAACGCACACACATACACACGCACACACACACACACACAAACCAACAGAAAAATGCAACCGCGCGCACGCATGCACGCACATATGCACGCAACAGCTTCTTGGGCACGTGCCCTGCGCGCAAGTTGCTCTGCGCAAGTTGCTCTGCGCAAGTGCTTTGTGCACTTGCTCTGCTCAAGTCGCGCTGCGCAACGTGCTCTGCGCAAGTTGCTCTGCGCACGCCGACCCCCGCAGAGGGTTTATCCGGGAGAAAACACAAAAAACCTTGAGTTTTTGCACCTCGACCACGCCGATCTCCTCTTTTTTTTGCCCCGATGCAGCAAACCGTGTCAGGCACGCGTCTGCTCCAAGCAATGCGGTGAAAGCAAATGAAAGAAACAAACATCAGGATCCCGTGTCCGTGCTCCAAGGTGAGAAGGAACGACAACTTCCGCCTTTGGCCAATGGCCTGAGTCGCGTTGATGAACGCAGGCAGCTCCTGCAGACAGCGCGACTTCCCCTGTCCAGCACCAAAAACACGGTGTGTGTCTTTTTGTCGGAGCCGTGTAACGGAGACCTTTGGCGAGCTCTGTCTTCAGAGACCCGACCTCGTGAATGCGTACACCAGTACAGCCACTTTGACTCTCCTCTCCTTCTAGCTGTTGATGCGTCCGTTCAAAAAGCAGTCTTTCAATGTCAGGCAGCTTTATGCCAAAAAAGCCGAGACGAGGGAGTCCTGAGGAAACATTCTTAGGATAAACAAACAGTAACAACTAATCAAACACGCATGAGCAATTTGGCGAAGACTCTGTAATCAGACCCTGTAATCAGACTTCCCTGACGCTGACTCTGGAACGCTGGCGACTTTTTCCACAGGAGCAGCAGCCGCAGCAGCTGTCCAGACGCGCGACTTCTGTTGCTGTTACATGCACATGAGTCCTGGAGGGATCCATTCATCGATCTGCTTTGTCCGGACTGCGCACCTTCTGCTGCTTTGAGTCTTGGCGTAAATTACGTAGGTGATGACCACTTCCTGGACATTGATCTCCATTGGCCACTCCGATTCATAGTTTCTTGATGCCCTCGCAGTGGCAAAGATTGCACAAATTCTTGTGCAATTTGCTGATTTAGCCCAATCAACACCAGTCGTGTTTGCGAAGTTCATAAACTCCCTAATTTCCTTCCACTCTTGGGTTGTATCAGTCTCTGGGTATTTACTCTGAACCAAGGTCATGGTGTTGCCGTCAAATCCGATGCTGTCCACACCCCGCTCCGTATCGCTCTCTGCAAGACACACACGAGATTTCCTGTCTCTTCTGAATTCTATCGCTGCTGCTCTAGGATCGCAGGGCAGGTCGTAGGGAAAGCCATCCATGTCAATGGCCACTCGCATTGCGCAAAGTGCCTCGAACGCCTTCGAACTCCAGCGGCGGTCTGTGCCAGTGGGATTTTCGTGTCGCAGGTGTTTGAAACGCTCTGGGCGATCCAACTGCATCAGCAGGTTCAAGAAGAATGGGTACGGTACCGTCACCCGGACTGTCGCCCGTGTCCTCTCAATGAAGGCTAGGCCAAGTTGAAAAAAGTCCTGGAACTTGGATTTGGGAACTATGCTTTGCAGCAGCACAGCCTGAACCAATGCAAAGCAGGCTGGCCGCACTGTCTCGTTCAGCAGGGCGTCTTCATGTTGACGGACGCGGTCGCATGTGAGCAGTGGACCAAGTCCACCGGCCTGCCGTTGCATGAAGCAGTGCAACTGGACCAGCAACGCTGCATGACCTCCGCAGGCACTGATGGCAAGCCGGGCTTGCAAGCCAGTGATATTCAGGCCTCAGGGAAAGCACAGGACGCAATGCGCATGCAAGTGTGATGCTCCCATGCTAGCTGCTGTGTCGAAACGAAGCACATGCACATCATGTCCTCCCCCCCAACAGGTAGACTCTGCACCGGTCAAGGAGTCAAGGCCAAGCCTGGAAAGAACTTCTTGGAGTCTTCAAAGCTGAATGCAGCAAGGTTCTTGTGTTCCAACTGTATGACAGTCGGCTCCGGATTCCATACCACCGGCGCAGTGTGCGTAATGACCGGCACCACCAATCCCAAAGGATTCGGCCCACAGTTGTATTCAGCCAACAAGTTCACGAAGTCTTTGAGTCGTCTGTCATTGAAGCCACGCTTCAGCAGAAAAGCGAGCTCATCCACATGCACAACCAGGATGCTTTTGTTTGCTGAGCCGCTTGTGAAGCTTTTGAACACGGCATCAAGCACAATAGTGACTGTCAAGCCTTTTAGCCATTCTTCCCCCCCACGAAAATAGTCTGGGTCGCACTGCAGAAGTCCTCGGGTAAATAAGAGTGTCGCCATGATTTGTTTCAAGGAGAAGCCCTTCTGCTCAGAAAGATACTCGGTTTCTGTGCCATCAGTTCCCCCACCAGTCCCACCGTTGAAGTTCAGCCCTATGCGAGAAACCGCGTACGGTTGGAAGCTTTGGTTCCTTTTCAGTAAACGTTCCACCTCAAAGCCCCAGCGTGACTTGCCAGCGCCACTCATCGTGGCATACTCCAGCAGCGGGCTGTTTGCTTTGATCAAAGAGCCATTGCGACTCCGATCTCCCAACATCTTGGAGACCCTATTCAGAAACTCCTGGGACTCCAAAGGCCGAGCCTGAAACTCGCCATCGTCGGGCTCACCATGAATGCTGGCAGGCACTTTGTCTTTCAGGTCGCCTCGAAGGCGTAGCAAGCCTTCCACTGTCTGCTCTGAGTTCGCCATGATGGCCAGTGGGGCCTGCAAAACGGATGTGTGAAGGAAATAGCCACTGCCAAAGGACAAACAACGCACGGCCACGCAACTGTTTGATGGTTTTGCGCGCCACTAACCATTCACACCAAATCAGGCAAATATGAGCGGGTACATCAAAAGTAGAAGGGAATGGCAGCACAACGGGCCAAACCATCGAACAGGAACTGTGCCCGTGGATGCAAAGCCGGGAATGCTTGAGCTCACTGCATCAAACAGAACATTCACAGAATGCACTTGGGCCTTCAGCAGCAAGGACCCCAATGGGTGCAGAGACATAAAGACATCAGAGTTTGCCCTCCCTCTCCCCGACGGCAGAAGGGCAGGTCTTGCTCTTTGAAAAGCAAGCTGAAGGCAATGACAAAATCACTCACAAGGATCAACGGCACGTCTCAATCAATGTCGACCAGCAGGAATGACCGACCCCCAACGAGGAAAGGCAACCATCCGTTCATGGGGGCTCCATACCGAGCCTGCCAACGACACGAACCGCCGCAATCTGCAAAAATGCTATCTTGGGATTTCCTGGTTCTCTGGATGCGATCAGGGCAGCCCCACCAAAACCATGTGCGGGCCGCGCGGGGAATTTCAGAACCGCACGCAACGATCAGAGTCCCAGAACGCAGCCGGCCGGCGGAAGCGACCGACTCCGCCCGCCTCGGACTCCTTCGTCCGGCCGCTTGCCTTCGCCGCCTGCACCTCCTTCTTCGCCCTCTCCACCTTCCTCTCCGCCTTCTCCACCTTCCTCTCCGCCTTCTCCACCTCCTCCTTGGCCTCCTTGACCTCCTCCTTGGCCTCCTTGACCTCCTCCTTGGCCTCCTTGACCTCCTCCTTGGCCTCCTTGACCTCCTCCTTGGCCTCCTGCACCTTTGTCGCATTGCCCGAGTCCTCCGCCGTCTCCAAGACGGTGGCAGCTCGAGCGAGACGCCTCACCGCCATCGCTTCCTGCTCCTGGGCGCTCTCAACCTGCCGCTGGGCGCTCTCAACCTGCCGCTGAGCGCTTTCAACCTGCCGCTGGGCAGTCTCAACCTGCCGCTGGGCGCTCGCTTGCTGCTGTCGCGCCAGGAGCAGGTCCTGCCCAGCAAGACTCACACGCCGAGCAGCAGTGCGCTCGGACGGACGGCCTCTTCCAAGGCCTTTAGGGCTGCCTCGACAAACATGCAGCACACAGAATGTCACGAAAGCGCTTGTGAATCTGACCTGTTGGTAAAACAAGCAAACACTCCTGCCTCTGCCACAAACTTCTTTAGCTGCTGCTTTAACTCAGGCTTAGTCGCCAAATCATTCCACTTCCCTGGATCTGTCAGCTGCACTTTTCCTGAGCTCAAAATTTCACCACGCCTGCTGCAACCAATGTGCTGCTAAAGCGGCGCATGACCACTTGCATGTCTTTCAGCGTGCCGTTGTCCACAACCCGTTTGGCTTCTGCGACCACCTGAGCGAGACAAGGCTGGGACGTCGCTTTCTCTGAAGGCCCGCCGCCTCCTCGAGATCGAGCCGGTCCTGACAACCAACAAGCCCAACGTTCAAGCCCGATGCACGTGTCCCCCAGGCCTGGCCACTGTTGTCCTGGCGGCAACCGGCAAAAGATGCGAACAGGCTTCGGGTCGGAGGAGTCCTCTTGCGCAGCCCCGGCGCGCCGCGCGACTCCGGCATGCAACGGGTGCCGTTTTGCCTGAAAGAGCCAAAGTGCAATCTGCTTGCGCCTGCGGGCAACTCTGAGAACTGGGCCAACATGCTGTCCTGGCACTCAGCACGAAACAAGAACATCCAAAGGAGGAACTTCATGCTCCTGCAGCCCAGGAACTCCTCGAGCAAAGTCCTGGGCGCCGGCGACAAGGGACTCCTGAAACCCGAAAACCTTCGAAAAACATGTGTCCCAAGACCCAGGCCGTGCTCGGCTGCACGAGCAGCGCCAATGCAATCCCGAGAAGGCAGAGGCACATACCTGGCCGCTGCCTACCGCGGGCACGGTAGCGTCACAAGCTTGCCAGCCTCGGCTTGTGGTCCTGGTCCGCATCATCGCCATGGCTATTCGAAAAGCGCTTGAGCGGCCTGCGATTCCTCAAGCACTGGCACTAGACCCATCGGGCAACCACAGCGAGCTGTTGTTGTGTCAGTGTTGATGAGTACCCTCGAGCCAAGTTTCCAGAGCAAACACAAGATTGACTGGCTTCTTTGGCAACACCAACGCACGGGTTTGGATGCTCCTCCTCCTTTTCACTCGTGGCCTGAAGGTCGGTCGGGCCAAGCCTTGCAAGGCTTCGCAGCGTCCATCCGTCAGACTGGCTGACCCACATCCTGCCGCTGCAACAAAGTCCAAGCGAGATACCAAACTGGCCTGCCTGCAAAACAAGCAGCCGAAATCGGCACCGGGCCGCCAGGGGCTGAAGGGCGGGGGTTTCTGGGGTCCCTGGTCCCTGCAATCACTGGGGCCTCTGGGGTCCCTGGGTCCCTCCTAAGGTCCCTAGGGTCCCTAGAGTCCCTGGGGTCCCTGCACACGTGTGCATCAGACGTCTCGCCAAGGCCCCAGAGTGCGCTCATCCCTGTCAACGCACGGCGGGTTCAGGGACCTTGGGGACCTTAGGGACCTTAGGGACCTTAGGGACCTTAAAGACCTTAGGGACCCCAGCAACCCTGCAAACCCTACCCTAGGGACCCTAGGGACTCCGAGGACTCAGGGACCCAGCGACCCAGGGACTTCAAGAGATCCTTGGTGGCCCCAAGGATTTTGGGGCTTGAAGGGATCTTGGCAAGAACTTCACGCCGGGTACCACTCAGCCTGGGCATTCTCCAGCATCAAAGGGTCATGCAAAAACACAAAATGCCGAAGCCAAGACACACACACACACACATTGCAAATGGGCCACAACACCACAACATCATCTCCCAACTACAAACACGGATGTAGAAAACACCATGTAGAGACATACCAACATAAAGGCACAAAGACATAAAGATATAAAGATATAAAGAGAAAGGTATAAAGATACAAAGATATAAAGATATGAATTTGTAGAAATACAAAGATATAAATATATGAAAATTCATAAAGAGATACAAATACGTAGAGATATGAAGATAAAAATGTATGAAAATAAATATGAGTACACGAAGATAAATAGATGTATGGCAAGTTGCTCGAATGGAAAAACAACAGAAGCTTTGCCCTTCCGCGCGTCTTTGTGGCAAGCTGCAACCAACCGAAGCTTGAGAGATGACTTCACACTTCACGGGATCTCTTGCCCCCAAGACCCAGGGTTGCTGGGGTCCCTGAGGTCCCTGGGGTCCCTAAGGTCCCTTAGGGTCCCTAGGGTCCGTAAGGTTTCTGGGGTCCCTAAAATCCCTGAAAACGCCGTGTGTTGACAAGGATGGATGCACTTTGGGACCCTGGCGAGACGTCTTGATGGAAGGACGTTGTTTCATGGCACCCGCGTGCCCAGGGACCCAGGGACCCCAGGGACCCTAAAAAACCCCAGGGACCCTCACTGGGTCAAAGATCAAGGGGGCTGACAGATTGGTGACAAAGATCAAATGACAATAACCTGCACTGGACCTCTTGGCCATGACAATGGAACGCGGCGAGGGCCCGGGCGGAACGTGGAGCTCGAGGCGCAAGCTCAAAAGTTCGGAGTGCCTGAGCGCCAGGAAAAAAAAGCGATTTTGAGGAAACCACACTGCCTGACTTACAAAAAACCTGACGGTACGACTTGACGGGGTTGGGGCAATCGCTCTCAAGGTCAAGGGTTCACCAGGTTGGAGAGACAATACAAAATGCGGGCCTGGCTCAACGAGGTCACGATTTCCAAAGATACACGGGCCTGACGGCGCGGCTTGACGGGGTTGGGAAAAGCACACAAAAAAGCAACGCAAACCACTTGGGCCTCACCGGTTGGGCCCAACCCTGAAAGCTCAGTTGAAATCCGCGCATCAACACTGACGGCGCAATCAGCAAAAAGGCCCAGGCAGAACGTCTTCGAAGTCGCGCAAATCCTGGCACGGGACGGGGGGGGGTGTCCGGGCCTCGCTAGGCCAAAGATCAGGGGGCCTGACAGATTGGCGAGTTGGGACCCAAACCTCAAAGATCAGTTGGCATTGATGGCCATGACAACGGAAGCAGCAAAGGCCCGGGCAGTATGCCCCGATGTCAAAACAAAGCCTGGCACGCGAAAACACGACCTTCAAAATCCAGGACCAAACCTGAAACACTGCTCAAAGGCCGAGTTGACACCAATCCGCACAGGTGCCCAGCCAAAGAGTCCCCAGTAGCACGAATTGGATCCACCTGCAAGCGGCCAACAAAAAGTGACAAAAAGGCAACTCGCGGCGCTGCGAGAAGATCTGCACGTCGAAGTCTGGGCACAGGGCACGTGAGGTCAAGAAAAACTGTGAGTCTGAAACCACGCCTTTGCACCCGCGAGCGGTTCCCGCCCCGTACCCCAGAGTGTCCCCGAATCTCGCCTTCACAAGGCTCACGTGCTTGGGGAAGCTCTTTCCAAACACGACCGACAACGTGAAAATCGTGAGAAAAACGCAACACCGGCAACCTGTCATGCAAAATCACG